GGTTGTGCGTAAACGCAAAAATTGAACGCTCGCTCAACTTTTACGTCTATGCGCAAACGTTCATACATAGCCTCTATTTTATTTACGTGCGTAAAATTAACGCACGTACGCACGTAAAAATTACGCGACTGTGGAAACCTACCTTAAGGTGTCTGTCACATACGGGGCATTGTTTGATCTTTGATTGGAGAGTACTAAGCCCCAAATCACGCACGTTTTCTCCGAATGATATCTATCTTTATTTGAGCTTGTGTAGAATGGCGGTCGAAAGGGACTGGCGAATCAGTTTATGTTTCGGACTTTTTTTCTTCATCAAACTCGCTTGTTGACGAGTCGAGGTTTATCTTTATGACGTAAAATGCAAATATCATCATCATCGGGCCTTTTTGTTCTAGTTATAAGGCTATACAAGGTAAATTTTGTATTAGTTAGTCATGTGGATTAAAGCGTGACCATTGCATTAAAAACCTACTTTAAATCATTATAATACTTTCTGATGGAACAGGAATCAGTAGATTTTTCTCTGACCTGAAATATTCCTCTGACCTGAATCTTGGCGAGGATCTTTGTATATGTGCCTCCTTTCATTTCCCAGTTTCTGGACTCTATCTAATGAACGGTTTTGAATTTTATTTTGATCTACTTTGAATGGTGTGACACTGGAAACCATGTAATAAAATAAGCTGGTAATCATGCTGATCTTGAATATCTGTTTCTTTGATTTAACGGAACTTCCTTAAAACATTCTTGTACAATATTATTTCTTCTCCTAGTTTTATTTCTCCTCCTTAGAGCCCGTTTTCGCCTCGAGTGTTTACACCTAATATTACACTACTGCTCGTTTTTAAACAGTACTTGAAGTAAAGAGCTGCTAAATTTAATCTAGTAATATTAATTTTACATAGAATCTTCAAAAATACCACAGTTAGCTTAAGGAACTTACAGTTTCAATGGAGTGTAGTAACATTAATAAAAAAGCCCATCTCCGAGTTGCCTTAGGCCATATCATAAATAGACCAAGTGCGCAGAACCATTTATACTGAAGTAAATGAATTTATTCGCGTATGAATGGAAAGACAGGGGCACCCAACGAGAATATAGTTCAAAACCACTTAAACATAGCATTGTTAAACGTTTTTTAGTATTTAAACGGTAGATATATGCGTATTTTTATCCCCCAAAAATATTTCATCTGTTCGGATTTCCTAGCTGAAAGTCTAGTGATCCGAAAATTATAGAGATCAAAACTTACTTTTTCGAAAATTTCAGCCAGAAAAAAGGCTCCCGAAAAGTTTAGGTGACCTTTTTAAAGTAAAAATCCGTTAAAAATGGGCAATTACACTATTTTTTAGATGTTCGAAAATCCTAGGAGAGGCAGGCAAGCAAGAAATTTTACAACAAATGTTCCGAAATTTCTTTATCTCACATCTTCTTCCGAACAGATATTTTCCGAAAATTGACGTTGGGTGCCCCTGAAAAGAGTTAAGTATGAGAAGATGTCCAACCATCCTCGGAGACCCAGGGGCAGTTCGTCGGGTCGATAAAATGTTTGTGGCGAAAGTTTACTGTAAGATCGATCTTACAGTAAACTTTCACCACGAACATTTTATCGACTCGACTAACTCCCCCTGGGTCTCCGAGGATGATGTCCACCTGGACTCTCTTTGAAAACAAGGCTTAAGATATAACGACTTATATATTTTACAGCAATATCCCTCGAGGCGTTTTGTATTTCTTCCGTTCACAGAACATTTTGAGGCAGAAAAGTTTTGAGGTGGGTAAAAAGTGTTTGATTTCTCTTTCATTTTTTTATTCCGTCGCGTAGAGAATCTCTAAGAGAATTCCATGAAATGAAAAGATTACCTTTTCTCGTGTCGTTAGCTTTAATACAATAGGGCCATTTATACGAGGAAAAATAAGACGCGTCTTACATAAGACGCGAACTGTACCATTTATACGAGCATGTCTTATCTAATAAGACGCGTCTTAGCTAAGCCGCGTCTTATTTTAGACGAAATGTCCCGTTTATACGGAAAGTTCGCGTCTTATTTAAGACGCGTCTTAGACCCTGTTTACATGGAGTGGGGGACCCCGGTCCAGTGGGGTAAGTTTCTTTTGTTTTGTGTCCCCCAGAGCGTGAAAACAAAAGAAACTTACCCCACTAGACCGGGGTCCCCCACTCCATGTAAACAGGCCCTTATTTTTCCTCGTATAAATGGCCCTAATGTTTTGTGTGAGGGCAGATTTCCACTCTCGCGTAATTTTTACGTGTGTAAATGAAATATATAGAGGCAATGTATGAAAGGTTGTGCGTAAACGCAAAAATTAAACCCTCGCTAAATTTTTACGTCTATGCGCAAACGTTCATACATAGCCTCTATTTTATTTACGTGCGTAAAATTAACGCACGTACGGCACGTAAAAATTACGCGACGGTGGAAACCAACGTTAAGGTGTTTTTTACCTACAGGGCATTATTTGATCTTTGATCGGAAAAAATAGTAAGCCCTAAATCACGCACGTTTTCTGCGAATGATATCTATCTGAAGAATGGCGGTCGAAAGGGACTGGCGAATCAGTTTATGTTTCGAAATTTTTTTTCTTCATCAAACTCGCTTGTTGACGAGTTAAGGCTTATCTTTATGGCGCAAAATGCAAATATCTTAATCATTGCGCCTCTTTGTTCTATTTATAAGGCTGTACAAGGTAAATTTTTTATCAGTTAGTCATGTGGATTAAAGCGTGATCATTGTATCAAAAACCTAGTTGTACCCGTTATAATGTATCGTAGTTGATGGTGTTGAACACACCACCCCAGCCTCTATTGCATCCGTGCTCAACTGTTATTTCTCATCCATTGGCAGAAGTCTTGCAAATAAAATATCAGCTGCTGCTATGTTCCCAGTCAGATCGGCCACGATGCTACAGTCTTTCTCGCTTGACGAAGTTGATGAGAAAACAGTACTCAAGCATCTGCTTTCTCTAAAGACAAATAAAGCTATTGGCTTGGACAACATCAGTGCGAGACTTTTAAAGTGTGGCGCGCGTGCTATTTGTCCCTCGATCACCAAGTTACTGAATCTCTCTATTCGCACTGGCAATTTTCCTGAAATATGGAAATGCTCGAAAGTGGCTGCACTTTTCAAAACTGGAGATAGGAGAGATGCGTCAAATTATCGCCCAATTTCTATTCTGCCAACAATGAGTAAAATTCTGGAAAAAGTCGTCCATTCCCAATTCTATGACTTTCTGAATTCAAATAATCTCCTTTCAAGCAAACAATTTGGCTTCCGTCCCAAACTGTCTACAACATCGGCTCTCACCAGTTTTGCAGATGAGGTCCTATTGCATATGGAGAGTGGAGAACTGTGCGGTGCAGTGTTCCTAGATCTGACCAAGGCATTCGATACCGTTGACCATACGATCTTGCTATCTAAATTGTCGGCTATCGGTGTCTCGCCCAGCACTCTACAGTGGTTCAAGTCTTACCTGAATCATCGTAAACAGCGGACTGCCTGTAGCGATGCTGTGTCTGACCCTCTCCCGATGACCTTTGGGGTGCCACAGGGGAGCATTCTAGGACCGCTTCTCTTCTTGGTTTATATTAATGACCTTCCGCTGGTTATAAAGAATTGCGAAGTGACTTTGTATGCTGATGACACGGTCCTGTACTACTTTGCTAAAGAGCCACACCTGTTAGAAGAGGCACTGAATGATGATCTCTTGAAAGTTGCCCAGTGGTTACATGGAAATAAGTTAACTTTAAATCTTACTAAGACGAAATCCATGATTATAGGCAGTAATAGGAAACTTGTTGGTATTTCCTCTTTCACGTTATCTATTTTTGACACTGATATAAATTCTGTAAGTAGTTTTAAATATTTGGGAGTTATGTTGTCTTCAACTTTCACATGGTCCGACCATATTGAGTATATTTCATGTAAGGTTAATAAAAACCTTGGTCTTCTACGTAGGATTAAGTATTATTTACCTTATGATGCCCGGTTTTTTTTTTTATAATAGCTTAGTGCTACCTATTTTTGATTATGCTGATTTAGTCTGGGGTGACAAGGACAATGTCTCACTTATGAAGGAATTGCAAATTCTCCAAAACAAAGCAGCTAAGTTGATATTAGATAGATCACCTCACTCCTCATCCACCGATGCATTGATTGTCTTGAGATGGCTGAATCTTGAAGAACGTAGGAAATGTCATCGATGTATATATGCATACAAGTGTATTAATGGCCAACTTAATCATTCTTTGGACATTGTAAGAAAGAGTGATATACATTCCTACAATACGCGCAATAACGATACTATCAAGCTCCCCAAAATTAAATATAATTGGGGAAAACAACGTTCGCGGTACCACTGTTTCAAAGACTTTAATGAATTAGAGAAATCTGTAAGAAACTCAGCAAGTTTTCCAATTTTTAAGAAGTGTCTTTTTTCTGCTTTTTATAATTGAGTACTTGTAGTGTGTATGTTTTAATTATTTCTGTAACTCGATTTTAGCTTGAAATTTTTTTTTTTTTTTTTTTTTTTTTTTTTTTGTATCATATATATCGATTTTAGCTTAACCTTTTTATATTTTAATTGTATTATATAATATACATCTCGTAATTAGGACCTCTATGTAAACCACTCTTGTGATGGAGCATCCTATTAAAAGATTGTTATTATTATTAATACTTTCTCATGGAACTTCTTACGCCCTGTTCACACGAATCAGGAGATTTTTCTCTAAAACCGCGTATTTCTTTACCCGGATTCGTGTGGACGAGGCTTAAGGCCATGCCATTATTATAAGTGTTGCACGGTTTCCCATCGCTCCTACAACTTATAAAAATACAATGAATATGCTAAGATCAGATGGTGTTTTCCTTACTGTCAAATGTTTTAATTTAGGTGAAAATGAAGCATCTCATTAAGATTCTCATCTTGCTGTTTGCTGTGACTTTGGTTACGGGAAAACCAATGCCAGACGAGTGGGGCCTGGTACGGGACAACGACATAGGAGCCTGGACCGACGAGGGCGATTTGAGCAATGATGCCCGAGTATATATAAACTCGGAAAGTAGTAATCTTTGTTGCCGTCTGCAAGTGAAGGCTTGCTGTCAGAAATAGACATGATAACTTCTTATTAGCCTGAGTCAAAACATGCATAGCTGGGCGAACTGAATTCTGCAAGGCTGATCATATAACGTGAAAATTAACTTTGCAAGACATAAACACTACACCGATAGAACCGAAAACAGAGCAATGTTGTAGCTGAGAGCCCTAGTTTGTTTAAATCCATGATACTGGAATTATTACGTGCACAGTATTCTTTACAGCTCTCCTCTTTCATGTAATAAAACAAGCTGGTAATTATGCTGATGTTGAAAATCTGTTTCTTTGTTTCAACGGAACTTCCTTACAACATTCTCGTCAAGAGCCATAATAGGACAGAGAGGGAGTCTAAGGGCGTTGGCCGGGATATCTTAATTTTTAGAACTATGCGGACCACCCGAAAACAGTTTCCGGTAAACTGGTTGACTTCCGGAAGACTCGCTTTCACGATTCAGGCCGCCAAAGCGAGGCGGCGTCAACAAATAAAAAAAATAGGCACGCAATGCGTGCGTGTAGCTACTGCGTTCTTGTTTGCATTGGTATGTGAATACGGTGCTGTTTAGTATGTACAGCTATTTTAGAAAAGGTTGTCGTAAGGCCTACGCGGCCATACCACTAGGTATTTTGGGCGTGTACGCTTCAGTACTCATAGAGCGACAACCTTTTCTGAATTAGCTGTATACAGCTATTTCATCTAAGGTTGTCGCGGCTCAAGTGTACACACCCAGACCGCAAAGGAGCATGTGAGGTAAAAATAAGTGGTTATTCGACAAATGACTGACATTCTGCAACATGGAAATTGGTCGGGGCTCGGCCCAAACAATAGGTTTGTACGTCTCGACAATATCTTTTCGAAATTTTATTTTCAATGGATTTTTCTCAGCGCGCTCAGATGCGGCTAAGAATAACATAAACATGAGGCACTGTTTTCTCATCAAGAGATAAGTCCTTGTGTAAGTGGCGTCCGATTTGCTGTTCATGAAGTACAAAAATAATCTGCCGTAGATGCGGCTAACAATAACATAAACATGATGCATTGTTTTCTCATCAAGATATAACTCCTCGTGTAACTGCCGTAGATGCAGCTAACAATAACATAAACATGAGCATTGTTTTCTCATCACGATATAACTCTTGTGTAACTGGTCTCCGGTTTGTTTAAAAACAATCTCATACCACTCTCTGTAAAGGCAAGTTTATTGGTTCCCGGGAGGGAATTCATCGTTTCCCGAAGGAAAAAGCTAGTTCCAAAGATGGAATTAGGCGATTCTGATAACAGGTCATTGGTTGCCACGAGCGGTACATGCAGTATTTCGGACCTGTGGAATTGATAAATTGGCCTTCTTCAACAAAGAACCTCTCATAGAAACTGCTTAAAACTTCTACACAAAAGGGTCCTTTACAAGCAACGGTAGAAATCCTGTCAGTATAAAACACGGACTGCGGACTGCGGACTGCGGACTACGGACTATGTATATAAAAACGACGACCTAGAAAGGTAAAACTGAGAGAAATGGAAAGCGGACTAGCAAAAACAGTAGTCCCAGCTTTAACGTTCCCTTGGCTGTTCACGTAGTCTATCTTCCCACGGAGAAGGAAGGTCATGCCGGTACTAAGGCAACTGAAATTAAACTCTGAATTTTATAAAAAGAGGGAGTTAGAAGAGATTTCAATTTGCAGTTTTAAACCAATAAGAAGCACCGAATTAAAAAAAGTAGTATTGGTGTTAATCAGATCAGTAAATTCCTTATCGGATGCCACTATTCTGTTTCAAATAAAGCCTTGGGAATATGAGGACTGAATGAAGAACTCAGACGAGAAGGTCAATGTAGGGCATTCCGCGATGCACAAAAGCAGTATTTAGGGGGGGAGGAAATTACTCACATACGTGAATAATAACTGAAATGAGTCATCCAACGTTATATTCTAAGCGATGATTATGATGACATGATTTACACCCTGCTCCTGATCCCCGGAGGGTGGTACTACTGGGAATTCTTGGTGGGGGTGTGGTGCCCAGTTGTCCGAATCCTGACCTTATTGTAGACCAAAAAATGTCATTTTCCACATCCGTTTTCAGACCAGATCTCTAAAATCCATACCCATTTTCGGACCTGGCCTAATTTAGCCTGTTCCAAGCTCTCAGATAGTTGGAGAGACTCCCCAGTTTTCTCCCCCTTTTATTTTCGTGTTTTCGCTTTCCTAATTCAGCGGACCCAACTATCTCAGAGCCTGGAATAGTTTAGGTCTAATTAGGTAGAAATTATGTCATCATTACCAAGTTAGAGCGGAAACAAAAAAATTCTCCAAATGCATTTCGAATTCGCACATTTCTATTTCGTTCTTATTCATTTGGAATTGAAACGATAAATACGTCCATTCATGTACGCTCCTGTAGTTCCCTCGAAAACCATACCCGATTCCAGACCAAAATGGGCAAAGTGTTTTCAGACCAAAAAGGCCCAAAACTCCTACCCTTCCATTATATAATGGAGTACCACCCCCGATCCTGACCCCTTTCATGATTGTTAGAGACCGAGACAAGGTCTAAAAATGGGTGAAGAAAATAGCATTTTGATCCGGCTCATGATTCAGAGAACCGAGCGGCACACCTCCACCAAGACTGATTTATAGGAGTATTTACAACTTTATCTCACGTGTCTTGCTATTTAGCGATCTTTTGATCTTATTTTTCCTTACCTAGAACCAATTAGCATCGTTTTTACCAAAGTAGTCCGTAGTCCGTATTTCATACCCAGTCCGCAGTCTGCGTTTTATACCTTGTCCGTGTTTTATACTCAGTCCGTGTTTTCCGGTCCGTGTTTTACACCTAGTCCATTTTTTATACCCAGTCCGCAGTCCGTAGTCCGCAGTCCGCAATCTATATTTTATACTGACCGGGTAGAAATCGGTTAAAGCGACCTCGTGACCACCGTTTTTGTTTGAACAGCTGGAAATAGGACATGTAGCATTGCGGCCCGGATAACCGTTGCAGACAAAACGCGCGGGTCCTACAAAGACGACCGTACAAGCGACCGTGTGGACGTATTTTCTATTGAAAGAGGAAGGAAAAGAACGTATAAAGGTTTCCAGTATTTTTGTCAAGGACATGACCGGGAAGGCGGGAATCTTGTGGAACACACGTTTTCCTGCTTGACTGATATTTTGTTCCGCACTTCACATTGGACAATTAGCAATTATTCTTTATTGAACACGAGGTTAATAGAGCGGAATATTCGCGTTGAGGTTAATATTCCTAAATCAGTAAAGAAACCAAAAAGATAGTTGGATAGATAGATAGATAGATAGATAGATAGATAGATAGATAGATAGATAGATAGATAGATAGATAGATAGATAGATAGATAGATAGATAGATAGATAGATAGGTAGATTTCCACTCTCTCGTAATTTTTACGTGTGTAAATGAAATAGAGGCAATGTAAGAAAGGTTGTGCGTAAACGCAAAAATTGAACGCTCGCTCAACTTTTACGTCTATGGGCAAACGTTCATACATAGCCTCTATTTTATTTACGTGCGTAAAATTAACGCACGTACGCACGTAAAAATTACGCGACTGTGGAAACCAACCTTAAGGTGTCTGTCACATACGGGGCATTGTTTGATCTTTGATTGGAGAGTACTAAGCCCCAAATCACGCACGTTTTCTCCGAATGATATCTATCTGAAGAATGGCGGTCGAAAGGGACTGGCGAATCAGTTTATGTTTCGGACTTTTTTTTCTTCATCCGACTCGCTTGTTGACGAGTCGAGTTTAATGCAAATATCTTCATCATCGGGCCTCTTTGTTCTAGTTATAAGGCTGTACAAGGTAAATTTTGTATCAGTTAGTCATGTGGATTAAAGCGTGACCATTGTATTTAAAACCTACTTGTACCCGTGATAACTGACTTTCTCATGGAACTTCGATTCTTACGCCCTGTTCACACGAATCAGGAGATTTTTCTCTGTAACCGCGTATTTCTTTACCCGGATTCGTGTGGACGAGGCTTAAGGCCATGCCCATTATTATAAGGGTTGCACGGTTTCCCATCGCTCCTACAATTTATAAAAATACAATGAATATGCTAAGATCAGATTGTGTTTTCCTTACTGTCAAATACTTTCGTTTAGGTGAAAATGAAGCATCTCATTAAGATTCTCATCTTGCTGTTTGCTGTGACTTTGGTTACGGGAAAACCAATGCCAGATGACTGGAGCCTGGAATGGAACAATGACAAAGGAGCCTGGACCGATGAGGGCGATTTAATCAGTGTTTCCCGTGAACATATAAACTCGGAAAGTAATCCAGTCTGTTGCCGTCTGCAGATCCCCGTTTGCTTTCACAAATAGACATGACAACTTTTTATTAGATTTATTGATAGTCTAACTCAAAAATACATAGCTGGGCGAACTGAAATCTGCAAAACTGATCACATAACGTGAAAATTAACTTTGCAAGACATAAACACGACACCGATAGAACCCAAAACAGCGCAAGGTTGTAGCTGAGAGCCCTACTTTGTTTAAATCCATGATACTGGAATTATTACGTGCGCAGTATTCTCCACAGTTTTCCTTTTTCATGTAATTAAATAAGCTGGTAATTATGTTGATCTTGAATATCTGTTTCTTTGTTATTTCTTCTTCTAGTTTTTCCTGTCTTTTGTTTTGTTTTGTTTTTTTTTACAATGGGTAGCCTGCCAGCAAGCTCTCTGGGAGGGGAGGGGAGGGGCTATGATGGCCTCTGGTGGTGGGAGACGGGTAGAAAACGACACCAGAACTCCCCACAACCAATAACGGCTATTGAAAACAATGCCACGATTTTTTTGTCAACTTACTGTATTTAATTTTACCAGTAAGCTTGTCATAGATTAAAAAGAACCCCTTAAATTATACTAAGAAGGAGAAAAATAAACCAGTATAAAGCTTTTTTAACATGGAAACGAAGCGATAGCCTCATTAGTGGACAAGAATGTTTGAACACGACATTAACCTCGTTTGGATACCTAATTACTAATTACTAAATGAATTAGCCCAAGATCTGCAGGCGCTATTTACCTTTGGCTTGGTTTACAAAATTCTGTCAGAAAAGGCGCGAGCAATTATATTTGTCCCAAGAAATCCACTAAGTTTACATGTATAGTTCATGGTAGAAGGGTCACTCGTCGAACCGAAGTACCTTGAGCGAGCCTACGTTTCCTACATTCCCTTAAAAACTTGGCGGACCGTTTATATAAGAGACAAACTTTTTGCTTGTATCAGCTAAAAGGGTGACCCGTCTATTACCGGGTAGCCCTTTTTAGATGGTAGGGTGACCCTCAAATAAACACTTTGGCTCGCCCAGCCGGGTTATTTCGGTCAAGGAGAAATAATCGCAGCATACACGAACACTTTTATCACCTCTTGGTTCGGGCAAAGTGATCAGCTTTTTTTTCATATTAACAGCTGTTAAAGTTGAATCGGTTTGTGAAGATGACCATCTGAGCTCACTTTGAAAATGAGACTTAACACAAAATGTCCCGTATATACTTTGCACTGTTTTGTTGCATGCACTATTTGTTGCAGCAATATCACTCGAGGTATTTGTGTATTTCTTTACGGCAGAAATTTTTTGAGGTAAGTAAAATGCTATTTCTCTTTTATTTTTGATTCTTCGGATAGATAACCCGCAAGAGGATTCAGCTTGTCGTATCTTTTCATTAATACAATGGTTTGTTGAAGATGCTTGTCAGAAAACGTACGAGATATTCTCTGATCTTTGATGATTGAGAGTTTGTCCTAGGCTGGAAAGGACTGAACGCTACTTTCGGTGCTCAATTTGCCGTTCTGCCATTGATAAAGTCAGTTTTCAGCTTTGCGCGCACCGTCCTCACGGTCGTCATATTGTCTTTGTTAAATCTGTCCACTAATATCTCTGGCTTAGTTTCAGTGGAACCTTCCTCAGGAGGGATCACAAGGGCTTACATTATGTTTCAACACTATAGTCGAACCTCCATGCGCGACAACCTCTCGCCAGAGTGACCAAGTCCAAAAAGTAATGACATTGCGCCCTAAATGTAATTAAGTTCGAATAACATTTTCCGTCAATTGTAATTAACTCTTAAGTGTGATGACATTCGGTCTTAAATGTCAGGACGTCGTGATAAGGCCATCAATGACGTAAGTAACCCCTTCATAAACTGGTTATGACATTGATCTGTCACGCCATCTCCACCCGGGATCCAAGCTGAACAGTCAAAGCCTTATCGTTCAAACCTCTCCTAAACGACCACCTTGGTCTCTTAAGCGACCGCGACCACTTTTTACGATGACGGTTCTATAATTTTCCATTGTTTCTAACCCCTTGAAGGCGACCACTTTGCGTGACGACACTAAAAACGGCTGTGTAGCAGGCTAGGATTTTGGGGGTAGGAGAAAATTCTAGTAAGCAGGGTTTTTAAAAAGGGAGGATTCAAGGTTAAAATGTGACAAGTTAGGATCGCGAAAACTACATTTGCCTAAAAGTGACTAAGATGGTGTCTAAAATTGGCCACCGAATATCTGGTAGGGGGCTCTGCTGAGAGGCCAGCGGCACACCCCCGGGGCACGCCCAGCCAAACTTGACCCAAGTCAGGAGCCTATCAAATGGAGCCTCCATCTCCCATACAAGCCCTTGGAGTCAACCCTGTCCCGAGTAGATTTATAATTAGAACGGTTCCCAGGGGAGATTTCGCGCGCCGACGGTGGGAAGAGCCAATCACAACGACTAAATGACACTGCTATTGTACTTCATGAAACAGCAGGAAATCCGGTGCTGACAGGCCAAAAAAAATCATAAGCTAGTGAAACGTGACTTTAGCGTTTTCATCCCTCAGAGATTTTCTTTCTTTTCTTTCTAGCGGGTAGATTATACTGTGGAGAGTTTTAAACTCTGACTATGTTAATCTTAATTTTGGTTGCTTGTCTCACATTAAGCTGGTCTGTTACATGCGTAAGGATTAACTACTACCTGCAGTCTGTAGTTCTGACAGGATTCGTTTTCTTTAGCCAATTTTTTTGAGCGTTAAGGTTCTTATTTCGGTTAAATGACTCAATATTAATCAAATTTCTAGTTTTTCAAGTTTTTATCCGAAATGCGTTTGTCTGAATAAATACTGTGGTTGTTTTGTCCGTCAGTTAGTGTGATGATTCCCTGCTATGTTTTGTAACGCCGAGCCCAGCCATTGTTTTCTCGCAAAAAAGTGATCTACAGATGCGAATTCGAAGGAAAGAATTGGCCTAAACTTCTACATTAATTGCTGAGAATTCTCCTGTTAGTAAGTCATAATTCTTTGGGCGCAGATACAATCCATTTTGTTTTTCTTGAGATAAAAGGGTCTTTGGACTGGAGCGCGATGTCACAAATTCCACCGTTAGCAAATTACTTTTGAGTTAGCTTCACGGTCGAGCAACTGTTGTCTTCTGTTCAACTTTTCAAGTGCCAGTTTTATCAGGCAACTCTCATGGTGATACAAGTCAGTTGTAAAGGAAGACTGCAATTTTTCTGAAGCATTCCTCCTTAGTTGCTACTTAGGTCATCGCTTTTGCACACGGTGCTTAACTGGCGAAAACCACTCCACGGCGATGACAAAAATAAATGATCCTGGCACTTTTTCGGCGCTGATCATCGAGAAGTTTCAAATCGTCCACAGAACGCTTAATCGTCGACTCTTTTCAAGGTGCATGCTTAAATGTGGGATGCATGACGGCAAAAAAAAAAAACAAACAAAAACATACACTCGCAAAGAACCTTTCCGTGATCCTCAGTTCGCTGCCTTTGTCCCATCGCTTCATGCTCAGTCCCAGTCGGGTAATTCATTAACTTTTATTTCATCCCAGATCCCAGCGGCTGTAAAACTGTAAAAATGGACGTATAGTAAAAAAGGAAAACGGTCGAAGGACGGGCTTCTGAGTTCGACTTCATCCAACTTCATTTTTTTCACGGTGACATACGAGACTCACGGAAATATGACACTTTTCGCGGGAAACAAGCCGTTCTATTTATAAATCTACTCGGAAAAGGGTTGACTCAAGAAATTAATGGAGATGGAGGCTCCATTTGATGGGCTCCTGCCCAAGTACATGTGTAACCCCCGGGATTCTCCAGTTATCGCGACTACTAACCCCTAATTACTAAATGAACTACTTAATTACTAAATGAATTAGCCCAAGATCTGCAGGCGCTATTTACGTTTGGCTTGGTTTACAAAATTCTGTCAGAAAAGGCGCGAGCAATTATATTTGTCCCAGGAAATCCACTACGCCTGTAATCAGTTTTCTCAGCGGAATCTACCCTGTCTATAAACTACGTAGTGGCAATGGCATGCAAAGTCCCTTCTCCCTTCCCTTGCTCCCAGAGAACAGCTGATCGAATCCTTTTATATTGCCTTTGATTTCAATGGAAGCTTCGCAAGAAGCCACAATTCGCACTGTTTCAAGCACACAACAACTCTTCCTTCCAAAAGAAACACTTGATCATCCATTTGACGTTACTCTGGCGATCCAAGATGGGAAGGAATTCAAAGCGCATAGACGGGTTCTTTCAGAGGCGAGTCCTTTCTTTGAAAGGCTGCTTAAAAGTGACATGAAAGAGTCTATCGAAGGAGTTATCCACTTAGAAATGACAAACGAGCAATGTTTGGGGGATATATTGGAATTTATCTACACAGGCCATGTTCAGATTTCGGCTGCAGAAGAAAATGGTGCTCAAGACTTGATCATAATGTCAGACTACTTGGTTTTACCACGTCTGAAGACTGTTGCTGGAAAACATTTAGTGAAGGACTTAAAGATATCAAATTCTGTTTCATTTTACCAGTTTGGCGTGAAATATCAATGTGACGAGCTCATTTTCGAGACCAGAAACTTCATTCATGCCAATTTCATGCACGTAGCGCAAACGGAGGAGTTCTTGAGCTTGTCGTGCGAAGAAATCAAAATGTGGATTTCAAATGACAACATTTCTGTAACTGCCGAAGAAGATGTATTCAAGGTCATTCTTAGATGGGTGAATCGTAATAAACTGGTGCGGAAGAAATATTTCCCCGAGTTATTCAGTGAAGTTCGACTTGTGTATGTATCACGTGAGTTTTTATACAGCGACGTCATGACAAGTGAGTTTGTGATTAGTGATGAACACAGCGTGGGGCTTGTTAAGGATGCTTTGAAGGTCATTGAATCAAAAGACTTTCAGCAGCGCAGTATTCGTCCTAGAAAGTCACTAGAGATGCCTGTCATGGTGATATGTGTACAAGGTTTCAGTAAACAGGAAGACAACATGCTATGTTGTTACTATCCGCTTGAAGACAAATGGTCCAAGTTTAATGGCACAGTTCCACCCAATATTGGAGAAATTGTACCCTGTCATGGAAAACTTTATTTTCATTTATTTCCTCATGAGGACGTTGGAGTCAGGGAGAGAAGACTATGATCCATTATCAAATTGTTGGTCTTCATTTCCATATGAGGATCACAGGACAGTGAAGAAAATATTTGCTATGAATGATGAGGCAATTTATGCCCTGGTGGCTGAAGATATACTATGTTGCCCTGACTGTACATCCCTGTACCTCCGTAAAATTCCTGGACCCTGTAGTAAGACCCCACATCTTTCTTTCTTGAGAAAGTACAAACCAGAAACCAGTTCCTGGGAAGACATAACATCATTTGATTTGGACTGTAATTCAAGGTCGGGGATTTGCGTTGTAGCCAAGGACAATTTTGTTTATTTCATTGGTGGTGGTTATTGCAGCCCAGATCGACATGAGATCCTTGCAAGTGCTGACAGATATGATCTCATCAACGATACATGGGAGAATTTAGCAAACCTTCAGCTTCCAAGATGGTATGCTCGCGCTACTGCAACATAGACTGCAAAACAGTCCGTATTTTTGCGTATTCAAGTACGCGCGAGCAGTCAAACAAAAGGTCTGCAACGAAGCTGAAAACAGAGAGCGAGACTGGGGAGAGACGCTAAAAATACGGACTGTCCGTTTTGCATACGTGATATTCGTTCGAATTACCCGCTTCTCCCAGCCACGGGCAATTCCCATTGGCTAAATTTCGATGCAAGCTGTCACCAAGCTGTCAAGTAATGTTTTTAACAAGTCATTCGCGATATTCCCTACCGTGATGAATTTCTAAAGCTTTCGCTTTAAAATGACGAATGTTGATCGCCTGGATTTGCTTGCAAGAATTGGGATTTGTTTTAAAATCGGAGCAAAGGGAAGCTGTGGAGTTGCTGCTCAGGGGAAAAGATGTTTTCTGTGTTCTACCAACAGGATTTGACAAAAGCCTTATTTATCAGATGTTTGTTCATGCAAAGAGTTCTCAGTCAAGTTCCGTGCAACGGCCGACCGTCATTATTATCTCGCCTGGCTAAAAAAGGGGGATTGGTAGGAAACACACGACCCAGTTAACCTCATGCAAAAATGCTTCTTGTTCCATTGAATTGTTTTCTCTGTCGAGTAGATTTTGCTTTGGAGGAAAACGTTTTGATTGAGCAAATGTGAGTTTTGGCCGCTTATTAAATATATTTCATACTGAGAGGTCGTGACACGCATATTGATTTTCTCTGGTCGGCATGATTTGCTCTCTGATACAAGAGCATTTTCCTTCTTAGCCCTTTTAGAAATGTAAAGCTCTTCATTGCGGCTGATTAAGGGTTTTAGGTTGCTTTATTTCTCCAAAGTGCCTCCTGGATTTGAATAATTTTAAGCGATTTTCTTTGTGTCCGTCAATGTGACTTTTTCCTGCAATGTTTTGTCATGCTGGGCCCAGCTCGTTACAGTTTTCAGCAGGATGTTTAAATTCTCACAGATAGTGATTTACAGATCTAAATCGCCAAGACGTGGATTGGAATGAGGGGATTTACTCATTCTTTTCAGTCGCAATAATTGTTCATTGTCAGTTGGCGTGTTCAGCTCTTCTCTAATTTGCGAAAGAATCGCCGTGCAGTTTCACGGAGATCCCAGGGCAGTTTCTAACCTTTGTTCCGCACGGGGAGCAAACTCTTGTGGAGAAAGATTCTCGATCCTTCCTCGAGGACAACGAAAAGGTCGTTTTTTCAGTAGGTCGGCCCACTTTGGTAACGTTTCCCCTTTTCTGGTAGGCGCAACAAACACATTTTCCGAGCTTATCCATCCACTCGCAAAATTGCCGAACTGTGTTTTCAAACAACAGCCGCACATTCTACAATTTATCCGAAACGCTCGGCTCTTTCGGCTTTCTCCCTCTCCGACGAGCAGGCACAGGCTTTGTTGTCGTACCGCCACTTCCACTATATATACTACATTTCACTATATACACTACGTTTCACAGAGAAGCAACGCTAAAAACTGCCTTAAAATTACTGGATTACAGTGTCAAGATTCGAAGCAAAGTGCAGACAATAACACGCGCTATTCTCCCTCGAAACCAATCACCGGGTGTATCAAATTCACAAAGACGGCGGAGCTGTGAACAGATTTTTGACAGCTCGACGACGTTTTTGAACCCCCTGGTCGGAACGAACTCGTCGTATGGAAAACAGACAGTCGGTTTTTTTTCTCCCGCCTCACACGCCCTACGGGCGTGTGAGGCACGCGCGCTTCGCGCGCGTAAGACTCTTACGCCACGCTTTACCGATTTCTTTACTGATTTTGAGAAAAAAAACCGACTGTTTTGCAGTCTAACTGCAACACACCACAAAATTTTTGTGGTTGGTGGAGTAAAAGGTGATTTACTAGCTGAGAGTTGTGAAATGTATGATGAAGATACAAAGGAATGGCATTTTGCAGCAAGGCTGAGGAAGACACCATTCGATCATTACAATCCAACTTTGCTGGGTGTTGATAACAAGCTGTATTGTTTAATCCGACTAATTTGTGCATGGAATCGAAAAGACAAAATTGATTGCTATGACTTTGAGAAAAATGAATGGAAAGAGAAAACTCAAATACCATTTGAAGAACTGTCACCGAGAGGGTTGAAAAATGAATCTTACTTACAAATTACTTCATGTTGTTCAATGGGAATTTTCAAAAGACACAATTTTCTTCAACATGCCTCATTCAAAGACATTAAAACTGGGAAAGATAAATGTGTTATCATGTGACCTAACAAAGCAAAGACAGAAACTATTTTGTGTTCTGTTAGGGTCTGCTGTTGTAGTTTGTTTGTTTTTTTTTTTGCAACAATTTGTCATCTGTAATGATATGCACCATAACCCTGGAAACAGTGACATTCTAGTTCACAGGAAAAAATAACAGATTCCCATTATTGGATATTTTGGGGTATTTAAAGAATACCTGTAAAAATGCCAAATTTGGCAAAGTGAGACAAGTCCCAACCAGGGAATTCCCAACCAAGTTCCCTGGTTGGGAATATCCAATAATGGGAATCTGTTTTTTTTTCCCGTGGTTCTTAGAAGCTGCAATTTCTTAAATCCTGGGATTTATCGGAGTGAAAATAATTTCTATTTCCCAACAAAAAACTCCAATTTTGTAAATTATTTGTAAATTTGCTGTAATTGAACAGCATGTAGATATAATTTTTGTGAACTTGACTTAATTTCATGTTCAGTCTTTTTTTTTTGTTTCGTGCTTGTGATATATAAATTATTTCATTTTCCCCTTTTTTACATTGTAAAGCGCCATGAGCTCAGGATATGAGCGCTATATAAATAAAGTTATTATTATTGTTATTATTATTATTCATAAACCGTCTCCCAACTGGTGGACTTAACAATCAGCAAATCAGAACCTACTTGTTAAGGGCCAGTAAGTAATTCTGCTGCAGAATAGTTGTGCCTAAGCGCTGTGAAATTCTCTTCCAGACACGATTATACAGTGAGAAAACATCAGTACTTCCCTATCGTTTTCTCGTTGATCTCTTACTTTACGGACCTTTACGAAACCCTAATGAAAAAACGCCGGGCGAAAAAAAAACTGCAGGGTTTAGCCAAGTGAGAACTTTCACCAAATCTCACATTAAGAAATCGCTGACATATGATGACAACTTCTCATTGACATACGGCTTTTAGGTAGTCTTTTCCATGTACACAACGTCTCAACTGAAAACGCAACCGAGCAGCTTAAAAAAGGTCGTAAACAGGAAAACTTGATTGACCAGGAGAAACGCACCAATCACTGAAACTTTGCGGCTCCATTAAACGTTTAACTTTTACACTGTTTGCTTTAGCCTGCGAAAACATCCGTTTCTCCTCGCTCTTCGCCGCTGGGGACGTTTCGCGCGAATCGTCCCCAGCGGCGAAGAGCGAAAAAAAAAAACGGATGTTTTCGCAGGCTATGTTTGCTTGAAAATGAAAAACTTAACAGTTTTATCAGTCTTTTATTGGAGGAAACTTTCATGAACTTGTTTGTGTAACTGCTGTAATCCACCAAGAACTGTACTCAAGATTTTCAAAAGGGTTGTCATTACAAGAAGACTCAAAGATCGCAAAAGATAGGTATTAAAATGTATTGATACGGCATTACCTTCCCCGACTTACCTTAAGTCTCTTCATGTCTTTTCGTCTCCTTCGAACGTTTTCCCTGCAAACGTACCATGTGTCCCTGGTTTTGACGCTTAGTGTAGGCAAAGCTGCGAACTATTCCTAATTAGATAATTTTCGTCATGTCGTTGACCAATCAAAAACAAATCTGATTTCATGCGCACGTGCAACTGACAAATAAAAAACTAGCATTGCACATGCACGCAAAGTTTTGTAAAGCGTCCGGTCCGTCAGATGTGAAGCAACACGTTTTACTTAAAACTGGGGGGCAAAAGTGAAAAGCTTTCACTTGTACATGGATGAAGGGATATCATGGGAAAATAGTCAAGACTAGGGAGTTAACGAAACAGACGACGAAGGCATCAACTAGATTGCAGGGTCGTAACATGGTATATGGGCTCAGGGCTCAAAGCCCAAAATATGACTGGGATCAGGGCTCAGAGCAAAGGGCTCAGGGCTCAGAAGAATGGGATCAGGGATCACAAGGCTTTTGAGCCCGAATCAGGGATCAGATTTATTACACGGTCTAAAAATCTCTTATCACACTATTTTTCCGCTTAATAAGGTTTGTGTCCATAGAATTTCCTGGCCGAGGTACATTACCTATTCTTGCTTCCGGCTGGCAGCAGTTTCTGTCATACGAAGTCCTGGTTGTTTGACGAAAACATGGTATCATATTCTTAATTACCGGGGCCTAGCCGAAGGCTGGCACCGGTCATAAAATGCAACGCGTTTCTGTGTTTTCAAAGTTACATTGTTAGGGATATATCGCTGACTGAGATATATCGCTGGCTCGTTACTTTTGGGAGTGTTCGCTGAGATATATCGCTGGTTCAGAAATTTGAAGTAGGGAGCAACAACTGTAACCATGTAAATATTAATTCGATTAGTTTGCACACAGAATGGTTTAATGCGACTATATTTACCACTTATCAATAAATGAGATCCCTGTCTATTGCAAAATATTGTTAAAGTATTCATCCTAGCGATGACAAAGCTTGGTCGACGTAGAACTGTGTACACTACGACAAAGCAAAAATCTTAACTTATTAAACTTGCGTTTCAGTACCTTACAATTCGCACTCCCAACAGGAAACTTCGTCAGATATTTTCCGACAAACAATTAAAACTCATTAGGAGGAAGTCTATCACTGCTTTGACTTATGAAGCAACAAAACAAAATATTTTCAAATAACCTTTGTCACGCAATATTTACGTTAGCGAGATGCGCAAATTCTCAGCTGTTCAAAATTCGGGATTCCCTAACATTTTGCCTTTTCACATTATTCATTACACCTTGTTTTCATCTCTAAAGAATATTTGCAATAAAAAAGATTTTCATGTCGCCCGACAAACTTGTTGATGAAAACGACCCTTCCACGTGGGTTGCCAAGACAAAAGTGGCCCCGGTAAAATTCACGAAGTGATTCTTGTTTTTATTAACCTGTGAGTACAGCAAAACCTTTCATCGCTCCTCGCATCACTACCATTAACAACACCATGCACGCGTGCGAGTGGCTTTGGAAGATTGGGCATGCAGGGGGAATAGGCAAGAGGAGCCGCGAATTTTGAAAATTTTGTGCTCAATATTTGAGGCTTATATTTTATAACTTTGCTTGCATGCGTGCGAAGACGCCAGTGTTCATGAAAAAGTAAAGAGCATCATTTCGGAGAAAAACTCACAATTAATACTATTAGACACGCGATTCTAATTTTAATTTCTATCTACGACGTCATTCACTGCCTTGTTTCATTACGACATTGCCGCGCGCAAATCGAGTGCTTCAGCAGAGTGGCTGAACTTTCAATATGACACGTGTTGCTGCATTGCTTCCAAACCGGCGACGTAAAACAACCACACTTAATCATTACTCACACGTACAGACCAAGCCACGTGATCTGCAAGCACGTGTTCTGTCACCAACTCGCCGTCACAACCCCCAGCCACTGGGCTTGGTTTATCAGAGTCCTCTGCAATCAAATGCTCAGGTTTGGCACTGGATTTGTGTCTGTTTGACTGTTTTCATTTAACAGAGTTTTATATAGAAGATCAATAAGAACGATAAGTAAGTCAATTACCTTCAAAGACCGTAATTGTACCACTGTACAATGATGGATCCAGTTCCGCCTTGATTAGAAAGCTAAAGCAGCGACGTTTTAGAGCCGCGAACGTCAGACAAGAGACTTGTTGCACTCTTGAGCCGTGATTTTCAACAAAATTTTGGTCCGGTTGACGTGCCTTGCTCAAAACGTCACTGTTTAAACTCCCTTTGTAACAGAGCGGTTGTAAGTCTACTACTTGGAATTCAGCGGTGTTGGGTGAATAGGCGGCGAGGGGAGGGCTGTGCGCACAACCGTATAGGTACATGCCTGCAGGATAAATTATGGTCTGTGATGAGCTATGTCCTTTAACAGGGTATCCCTTTTGGTAATGTTTTCCTGTGACAGGGTAACAGCACAGGACCTAACCCTAATTTAAAAAGACCTGATTAAAAGGACTCACTAAACCATTCTAGAATTTTATGCGCTAGAGATATGCAATGAAATGTAATTAACTGAATAGTGGGATGCAATTTTTTCGTTTCTGGGCTTTTAAAAAAGGGGTAAAATCTCAATTTGATTTTCATTAAATAGGTCAGGTCTTAACCAAGGCCAGGAATTGAGGACCTTAGCGGCACACGCCTATCATAACAGTGACCGGAGTATTCCCCGTGTTTACTGCTGGTATTAAACGCTCCAAGTCATCTTGATGATCTTAACTTGTTCACTAAATCATCAAAACATTTTTAAAATCAAAAAGGAGTTGTCGCGAGACATTGTTAACCTGGTTTCCAGGGCTTTTTGTTTCGCTCTCCTTTTCCGAGGGAAAAGCCCTGGGAACGCGATTGGAGACGTTTTAGCAGTAGGTACAGTACAAGTTGTAATCCTACTTATCAAATCGTACACAAACTACTGTAATTTTCTCTTATACATCTAGTTAACTAAAAATTAACTGCTTTTTACCTCAGGACTAAGTTCTATACCCACTTCTCTTTTTACATTATATTATTTAAAATGACATCTAATATTGTTCGAACAAACTCCAGACTCAAACTCGCCTCATTTATTATTTTGGCGACAAAATGTTCTTGCTTTCTTGTGTTTAATTGATCCAAGAAACAAGGGAGGGGTTCCCAGAACGAAGAATGCTGACAAGCACTGACTTTTTTTTTCAAACAGCCCTACGCTATATGGAACCCAGACTTCCGCCACACTCGTGCGAGATACCCAACACTTGTAGGACATTTGGGTGAGTTGATTTTATAATACTGAACAAAATAAGCAGATTATAAATGTCTAGATTCCACTTATTGTACATATTTTTGTATATTTTTCCTCTAACTTATTTTTTAGAGGGCCGTAATGTAAGTTAGAAAACTACAAAAGGTTATTACGTCTCCCTCTTTAAATACGATGTAAAGCTATTGTATTGTATTGTACTATGGAATCACGCTATAACGAAGACCCCTTTATAACGAGAAACATCTGAAAGCCTGGCAGAATTACGGTAAAATATTTGGAAACGAACCTCGCTATAGCAATAGATTTTGACGGTCCCAACGCACAATTTATCTCGGTGTAACGAATATTTTGTCCGGTCGCTCGCAGCAGTCAGTAAAAACGACAGATTTGAGTAGAAATCACATCTTGTTTTGTCTTGATTGTCAGCGCTTTACACTTACAGTTTACAGTATCAAATGGATAGAAAAAAATTTTTCTACGTGCAGTACTGAATTTTTGGCAATTGCTATTCATTAAATTAACCCGCTATAACGAATATTTTTCCTGTTGTCCAGATAATAGCAAAGACCCCGGCGTTATAACGAACAATTTTTTCGGTACCTTGGAAATTGGTTATAGCGGGGTTCCACTGTAATGTACTTATCAAGGGGCCTTCTTAGTTTGTACCCACTTCTCGACACCATCGTTATAATCCTTGCTCTCTCAGGTCTCCCCGTTCCTGACCGTAGGAGATCTGGCTACTAGATAAGCCCCTTCCACCTATCTCGTGCCTAGATTTCCCACCTACAAACAAACGGCAGCGAGATATTGGCCTCCCACGCAGACGTTCTTAGGGCGAACGACGAACCAAAAAAGTGTTTGCGTGAAAGGCTAGTGAGATCTCAGTGAGAGAAAAGTTTATGATAACAGGTTTCAAATTCTTTTCACCACTCTCTCGTGCACACTCCGACGAAACAGCTTGCTAGCCTACGCAGACTTGCGTAAGTTGACAACAAGGAAAAAAACGCGCGAAACGTTAAAAGGGCCATCTTACATCTATATATCTTGATTAGAGGAGCCTTATGCAAAAAGATCTAGTTATTACCAAATAAAATGAGTTTTGGGCATGCACCAATTTTTAATACTAATGAATGGACTTTGGAGAATTAAAGGGTATTTGTTTGGTCTGTGCTTTAAACCATGCATTTGTATTGCTTGACAGCTGAATACCTTTTTTCTTTTATTCCTTCCCGCTATAGATTTGACTAACTTCTCTAGTGGCTCCATATCTCAAATGACTCCATTTGAAGAGAGAGGTACGTCTGCTTATATACAAACTCCTAAAAAATCAAAACTATCTCTTGGAAACGAAGTTTACTCAATAGTCTTAGATTTTAAAATTCCAAACAAAATCATCGCAGGCTTGAAGTCATAAAGGCCAGTATATAATATACTACGCTGTAAGTAAGAAGTAAGTTGCCAGCTTCCGTTCACAGCGTAAATTTCGCAGATGCGTCTTCATTATCTTTAGTACCGGAAATTTGTTGGTTCCATTAAAAATGACTTCCTGAGGATAAAAAAAAAACATACCGAAGTAATGAATTATACAAACTGTGTTAGATATAAGGAATAACAAAAGCTATAAGAAGCAGCGAAAGGAACCAAAACAGTCACCTGAACTCATTTGTTTGTACATGTCTCTTTTAAGCTTTGTTTTAGTTGCTACGATAGAAGCTAATCTCATTCTAAGGTCCTAATCCCAGCCAACCTTCTCTTCTAATAGGGGGTCCCCCAACAATCAACTATAGTCTCCAGTCCACTTCACGCTTTAGTTATAGAGATCCTTCCCAGTATACTTTGGGAGGAGGAAAGAAGTGGCCTACCCATCGTCCCTATCGACGTGAGCCAGACGGTCCTGCTCTTGGCATAAGTAAGTGGAGATGAAGATGTCTTTAATCTTCTAGTTTGTGATCTGATGGGACCTTTAGTAAAGTAGAACGTAAATTTTAATTTGGATTGACAGAGGAATGATTCTTTAGGACTTACTTCTGTAGCTGTGACAAGTTGACACTTCTCGATATTTTTTCTCTAAACAAGTGTCCTGTTAGTTGCAATACATATATATATTTTTTTAACTATGTGTTTGAAGTAATTATGGTTGACTAAAAGCAACTGTTTAAGCTCACTAACGAGAATATGGTCAACAAAAAGGAGATCGGTGATCCAGCGTTAGGTGAAATTTTTTCGACACCATTTAAAACAAATTTGCAGCATTTTTACCACGGTCAGGATACTAAAGTAGCAGTTAACCTGGAAAGCATGTCACAGCTACATGGAAGCTTCAACTATTGCCAGGCTGAATGCTTTTTTGATGGAGTATTTTAAACTAACTTTGAGTTCTTTTTTTCCACACAGTTCCTCCGGGTCTCCCTAGATTGTCAGAGGAAAGAAATGTAGTCAATGTTCGTCAGGGAACCGAACAGGTAATCCTAGCAATTCTGGGCCATTTAAGCAACTGCGGCCTTAGTTTAGGTTATGGTCCGACTCGTAACCAAGCGCGTAAAGGAAGATCTTGGCCATGGAGGATCGAGGGCAATCTTAGAAGCGAGTTCTCGAAGCTCGCATGGCACCCCTGCTTTGTACGAGGCAGCGTTAAAAATCCTTTAAAACTCTATTAGTTTGAAAACGTGCACTTCTAATCTATTCACGATTTAATGATGCTCCTTCTACTTTATCGGGACAAAAATGAAAAGAAGTTTAAAGACGTTAATTAGCAGAAGCAACCACGACAGTGATGACAACGAAAACGCAAAAACAACAACCCTGCACGTGCATCATAATTTTTGATACTTTTCTCTGCCTTCAATGCAAGACTAGGACGTGAAATTTCGTTGCTTACTAAAGTTCTATAGATAATGCTAACAAAAGACGACGATTTTTTTTCCTTTTCTAAAGTCGTATGCAGTCTTGAAAATGCAATTCCAGAAAAAAAATCGCCTTCGTTTGACTAATTGAACGAGGCAGAATAATAGCTGTGAAGTTTGAAAAGACAGTAAAACTACTTTTTAATTGTCGTTTCCGCTGCCGCCGCCATCGTAGTACAATTAAGCTCCCTATCAACTTCGGAAGTGAACAGGGCCAAGTTGTTTAATAAAGGGAGTGCTAGCTCTAAATCTGGGTTAAAGGAAAACAGGACGTATAAGTTGTCATAGTAACCAAAAATTGCACGTCGAGCAACTTGGCTCTCAAAATAAACTGCAAATGAAGCAAATGGTTCTCTAAGCTCAACCCGTTATCTAAACAACGCAGAGAGATATTTAACCCTAGATTAAACCAATTGCAGCCACGTTAGAGTCAAAAACGCTATTCTTGGGTGTTTTCCAAACCTTCTTCTAGTTCTGTTGTTAGCGCATCTTTCCAAATAGAACTTTTAGGGGCCTCACGGATTTCTTTCTTAACGTTAAATCCGTTAGCACCCAATTAACCACTACAGATTTTCATAGGTAGGACTAAAGTCATATCCTACACGTATATTTTGTGGGTGTTTTTTGCTTTCCAAACCCTATAGGAACGTGACTTTAACGTAATAATTAGGTATAAAGTTAGGCGTGCTCTTGCTTGGCCATAGTAGAACAGTAAAAACCCGCGCGTAAGAACCTACATTCTCTGCAGTTAGCCTAAACAGGTTCTTATATAAATAGTGGTTAACACAATTTTAGGCTATTTACGTTCTTAGATAGGTTCTTATTTCCGTAAAAAAAAATTTAAAAAAAAAACAAGCTACAAAACAAGATGGTAATCTGCGTATTTTTCAATTTCAAAATGCGATACAACAATATTAACCTCTTGCACTTTATTTTTTTATTACATCAATAAATTAGCACTTTTATTTGCACAGCAATGCCAAGCTCCTAATTCTCCAAACTGGATTCTTGCACAGCTTTGCAGCTGCTTTTCACCAATACGACTTTAAAAAATAAGAACTTGTTTTTCATTATCTAGGCTAAACAGGTTCTTGTTTATAGGGGGTATAAATGGCAAATTTTAGGCTAACAGGTTCTTAATTTTCAGGTTCTTACTCGCGGGTTTTTACTGTAGTAGTAGTAAAGTTAGGCCTAGGCCAAACATCGAACTTTTCAGAAGACGAATCAAACTCGTCTGTTGGGTCAGACGTCGAGCTTAGGACGTGTCGAACCAGTCAACTGAATCAGAACAAAAAACAATTTTAGCGGGCCAGGTGTTCAGTATTAAATTTCTCCCGAAAGAGGCTGAAATATACATGACCATACAAATTTTCGATTTATTAGTTTAATTTGTCGCATGTGAAGATCCACGCTTGTCACGGAGACGATCTTCAGACATACAGTATCCGTCTGAAGTAGACGCATAAAGCGTTTTTGGGCGATCTGATCTCATTCTTCCCGGCGAGCAGAGGCCCTTCGATCTTCCTAGATAAGTCCCGACTTACCTAGGAAGATCGAAGGGCCTCTGCTCGCAGGGTAATCTCATTCACGCAAACGTAAATGAGCCAGACGTCGAACTTTTCATCAACTTCACTCACTAAGCTTAGTTCGTCTCATGAAAAGTTCGACCAATTTGGAATAGGCCTAACGCTAATTCAATCTTTCAGAAATCAGATAATCTCATATGGAGCAACGCAGCCTTGAGAGAAGTTTGGCGATCAACAGGCCATCCAAACATTGGTTGTGAGCCATGACGTTTCCTTTAACAGCGCAGTCCCAAGAAACTCAGAACTACTTCTATCCTTATAATGTAGTTCGAAATCAATGTACATATCTTTACGAAGCCCTTTTTAAACACCCTCTTTTAAGTCTTAATCTACTTCAAAGCAAACCTGGATCACTAAAATTTTTCTTGTTTATACAAGTATATATATCAACTTAACTTTCCTTCATCTTGTAAAAGGATTATAGTGAAACAATGTAGTTTAGAAATTTTCAGCATGAGCAACATCATTAAGTTTAATTGTTTTTGTTAATCTGTAACTTAGTTAATTGCAAAAAAAATGTTGATCAGTTTTGTCGTACAAAACTCAGTACATATGTAAAAACAAGACAGTGATAAATAAATCCTAATTTTGTATCTACTTTTTCGGTATAGAAAAATAATTCAGTGACCAAGGCAGGGGTCAGACCTCGAACGTTAACTTTACATGTGACGAACCTTCTTGTTCTGCATTAGTCAGCTGATTAGTATTAAGTTGGTTCCATGAAAAGTCCGACTTTTGATGACCCTGGCTTTACTGATATTTAAAGGAAAATTTTACGGCAAGTCGCAATAAAGAGCGCCCTTGAGTAAAGCAAACGTCCACCTTCCATAATTTGGTAAATTACCATAAAAAAATTGTATTTGTTTAATTAAGAAACCGCAAAATAACGCAATTTTACAAATGTGCAGGCAAAAAACTGTATTTTAAGCTGGTCACTGAATTTGTAAATACGGCGCAGGGTTGTTGTTTGGGTTTCAACCAAGAGAGCCGAGGATAATTAAAAGCTCTTTATCCTCTCTTAGTTTGAACAAGCCTTCACGGCTGCCTAGTTCATTTTGTGAATCCTTTTCCAGCTAGCCATTCACGTGGTAAAAAATTCACCATGCAGGTAGTTTTCTCTGTTTTGTAACACGTGAATGACTATCTGGAAAGGGCCTATTCAGAGGCGTCCTTATTTGGTATGAAACTTACTTAAGCAACGAAATTATTAGTAAATGACAAAATCACAGCTTCTTTTCAATCAATTACGTCTCCTAAATTAAGCATAATCAAACGTAACAGGGGCGTGGCTGGGGATCCTGGGGTGCCCATGTTTCCCCCACCCCCATATATGAGACATCCCTTTTTTTTCTCCACTAAAAAGCGAGAAAATTGAAATCCAATGCCCATGCTTAAATCCTCGGAAAATTCACTGCCTTTGAATAACGCCTTGCCAGGCCGTCTCATATAAAAAAATTTTTCGCGAAAACCAACTTTTAAGAGTCTTGAAAGTTCAGTTCGTCAGTGGTTGTTCAATGGGCCACACGTCGGTTTATATAGACCATGATCCTTCTTGACGCGTGAGTCATCTATGCAGCTATTTTGTATACCCCCACGCTTACTCCTCATCCGAAAAAATGTCACTTTTAGTAAAATACGGCATGGACCTCAATCTATACACATGGTAGGGAGAGTTCTGAGTTCCGAGTTCCACTTCTGAGTGCACTGATCACAAGACGCATGTGAGCTACAGTATGTGAAGTTTAGTTCACTTCAGCTTTAATGCTAACCAGCAATTAAGCAAGATACTGCATTGCTCTTCAAGAGGTATTGTTTCACTGATAGTAATTAACTTTTTTTCTTGTTTGCATTTATTTGTATTTCATTTACGGTGTTCATGGAAGGGTTTGCACGCAGCAGCACAAATATCGGAAAAACTTGATCCACTCCATAAAATAACTCAAAAGAAGCATCATTTTCTTTCTCTTCAAGAAAAAGAGGTACCATCCTTGCGAGGAACGCTCAACCTCGTAATTGTGACTAAAATTACACTGTCTTCGACTTCAGATAATTAGAAGCTGCTTCACTGCATTCTTCATCGTACCTATACAACAAAAACAGCAAGGAGAAACGTTAGCAAGCTAGCAGAAGAATAGTGATTTCAGCCAGCGAAATCAGTTAATATTTTGGCGCCTGACATAGAATACCATTAAAACCTATAACTCACACCGTATGAAAAAATGCACTTTATTCGATTGTCAATGTATTTAGCACGAAAGTACTACTAGAGGACACTATATTAACGTCTCCTACTGGAGACGGGACCGCCATTTTAGGAAGTCATCCGAGCCACGCGAAGTTCTCGCCGCTTGCATATTGCAAAGGGAGTGCCTTCATATCTCAGTTATTTTAAGGCCCTGAGTATTGGTCCGGCCCCGAGAATCGATCCCGCGACCTCCCGCTCTACAGTCACGCGCTCTACCGACTGAGTTAATCCTGCCGCAACAATTTCCAGAACTGATATTCAAACAACTCAAAGATTGCAGATTAATTGGGAAAAATAATTGCTTGTTAAAATGACGTTTCTGAAAGCACGTAATATGATCCCAAAATACCTTCCTATTTATTGGATGCCTTCAAACTCGAGCGTTACGTCATCACCAATGAGAACAAACGGCGCCCAGTACTTCACTGCGCTAAAGCGGTCAGATTCTCTCATGGATTTCATGGCTCTATTCAGGGCCTCACTGGCACATCGTCCATGGACTAATTGTTGGTAGAAAACTTTCATAAACTCCATAGTAGCTTCGTCGTCAATCGCCCACAGGGAAACTAGAACAGCACGAGCACCGGCACCCAAAAACGCTCGTGCGATGCCGACCACACCCTCAGATTTGACTTCTCCTTGAGCACTATGACAACAACTAAGTACAACAAGTCTTGCCCTAATCTGCGCCTGTAAAACATCTTTCATAGTTAAGAGATAGTCCTCCTCGGCTAGATTCACGGATGAACGCGTTGTGTTTGGGGCCAAGGCAATTTCTCCCGTTTCCATTTCACCGTGAGCAGCAATATGCACCAAAGCTACAGAGGAGATACGTCTTAAAACTTCATCTTTTGTTGCCTGCTTTCCAACGAGAGGTACAGTGTGAAGAATTTCCCCAATCATCTGCACTTCTTTTTCGGCCCACGCTAACTGCTCTAGCGTCGTTACTTCCTGTACCCACGGATCGCCGACGAGAAGAGCGCCAGTCTTGCTGTGCCAGTCTGCTGGACAGTCTTGGATTAATCGAAGACTAGAAAGCGAGGGGAGCAGACGAATTCTAAACGTTTCGCAGAGGTACTTTGATTTTAAGTCCATGAAAGCAGCATAAGGCGCCAAACACAGAGGTCCTTCTGGAACAATCACAATTTCATCGCCCTGGAGTAAGTCTCTTATAGGGTCTATAACAACGTTGTAAAATGTTTGCAATGACTTTGTCTCAAAATATGAAGGATGAGACTTACTTGATCTTTCTTCTGCTAACTTCTTATCGCTTGGGTTACTTAATGAACGATTTTCACAATTAACATCAGCTCCTAAACCTATTTCGTTATGTGTAGCCTCCAATAGAGACTGAAAATAGGTTGTGACGGAGATGTCAATCTCAGTTCTTCTAGTTTTGATTTGATTTCCTTTCTCGTTCACCCAGACAACTATTCCTCCCTCGCTGATACCCATGAAAGCTGTATTTGGTGGTAAGTAACTAGCAAAGTCACGTGGTCTTGCAGAAAGTGTTTCTATTTCTGGATGTAACCCTTTAAGGCCATACTTGAACTCCATAAGATCATTTAAAGCTCGTGCACGTCCTTGATCAGCAGTTAAAAGTGCCTCAATGACTTTACCTTCCTTAAACTGCAGCTCCCACAGCCTCAAATTAACATGATCATACGTACTTTTAAGGGTAATCTTCCATTCGTCTTTAGATATGAGATTTCTCCTAATATAGTCGAAGGCTATAACACTGTTCTTATAACACTGAACGGCTTTCTGGAAATCTCCAAGCCTGTGATAGGCGTTGCCAAGATTACTGTACACTTTTCCTTCTCCTGCCCTGTCTCCCACTTCTTTCGAAATGTTGAGGTGTCGTTCAAGGTACTCTATGGCTTTCTGGAAATCTCCAAGATTGTGATATGCATTGCCAAGATTACCGTACGCGCTTCCTTCTCCTGCCCTGTCTCCCACTTCTTTCGAAATGTTGAGGTGTCGTTCATGGTACTCTATGGCTTTCTGGAAATCTCCAAGACTGCGATAGGCATTGCCAAGATTACCGTACGCTCCTCCTTCTCTTGCCCTGTTTCCCACTTCTTTCGAAATTTTGAGGTGTCGTTCATGGTACTCTATGGCTTTCTGGAAATCTCCAAGATGACGATAGGCGACGCCAAGATTACCGTACGCTCCTCCTTCTCCTGCCCTGTTTCCCACTTCTTTCGAAATGTTGAGGTGTCGTTCATGGTACTCCATGGCTTTCTGAAAATCTCCAAGATGACGATAGGCGACGCCAAGATTACAGTACGCTTTTCCTTCTCCTGCCCTGTCTCCCACTTCTTTTGAAATTTTGAGGTGTCGTTCATGGTACTCTATGGCTTTCTGAAAATCTCCAAGATGACGATAGGCGACGCCAAGATTACAGTACGCTTTTCCTTCTCCTGCCCTGTCTCCCACTTCTTTTGAAATTTTGAGGTGTCGTTCATGGTACTCTATGGCTTTCTGAAAATCTCCAAGATGACTATAGGCGTCGCCAAGATTACCGTACGCTCCTCCTTCTCCTGCCCTGTCTCCTACTTCTTTTGAAATTTTGAGGATTCGTTCATGGTACTCCATGGCTTTCTGAAAATCTCCAAGATGACTATAGGCGACGCCAAGATTACCGTACGCGCTTCCTTCTCCTGCCCTGTCTCCCAATTCTTTTGAAATTTTGAGGTCTCGTTCATGGTACTCTATGGCTTTCTGGAAATCTCCAAGACTGCGATAGGCATTGCCAAGATTACCGTACGCTCCTCCTTCTCCTGCCCTGTTTCCCACTTCTTTCGAAATTTTGAGGTGTCGTTCATGGTACTCTATGGCTTTCTGGAAATCTCCAAGACTATCATAGGCGTTGCCAAGATTACCGTACGCTTTTCCTTCTCCTGCCCTGTCTGCCACTTCTTTTGAAATTTTGAGGTGTCCTTCATGGTACTCTATGGCTTTCTGAAAATCTCCAAGATGACGATAGGCGACGCCAAGATTACAGTACGCTTTTCCTGCTCCTGCCCTGTCTCCCACTTCTTTTGAAATTTTGAGGTGTCGTTCATGGTACTCTATGGCTTTCTGAAAATCTCCAAGATGACTATAGGCGACCCCAAGATTACCGTACGCTTTTCTTTCTCCTGCCCTGTTTCCCACTTCTTTCGAAATTTCGAGGTGTCGTTCATGGACCTCTATGGCTTTCTGGAAATCTCCAAGACTGTCATAGGCCATGCCAAGATTACAGTACGCTATTCCTGCTCCTGCCCTGTTTCCCACTTCTTTCGAAATTTTGAGGTGTCGTTCATGGTACTCTATGGCTTTCTGGAAATCTCCAAGACTATCATAGGCGTTGCCAAGATTACCGTACGCTTTTCCTTCTCCTGCCCTGTCTGCCACTTCTTTTGAAATTTTGAGGTGTCCTTCATGGTACTCTATGGCTTTCTGAAAATCTCCAAGATGACGATAGGCGACGCCAAGATTACAGTACGCTTTTCCTGCTCCTGCCCTGTCTCCCACTTCTTTTGAAATTTTGAGGTGTCGTTCATGGTACTCTATGGCTTTCTGAAAATCTCCAAGATGACTATAGGCGACCCCAAGATTACCGTACGCTTTTCTTTCTCCTGCCCTGTTTCCCACTTCTTTCGAAATTTCGAGGTGTCGTTCATGGACCTCTATGGCTTTCTGGAAATCTCCAAGACTGTCATAGGCCATGCCAAGATTACAGTACGCTATTCCTGCTCCTGCCCTGTCTCCCACTTCTTTCGAAATTTTGAGGTGTCGTTCATGGTACTCGATGGCTTTCCGGAAATCTCCTAGTCTGTAATAGGCGATGCCTAGGGCGTGCTGGACATCTTTAAAGTTGACAAAGGGGTCGCCAATATTACCGTTAATAGCTGTGGCTGTCATTTTTTGCTGGCTTTGCTATTTCAGCTCAGCCACATATTGTGGTTTCTTTTTTTTGCTGATACCATTTCTCTTTATGTACGATAACGAAGAGGATCTGAGAAGTAAAATTAAAAGCTAGAGTAAAAACTTATTTATCAGCTCCTTTACTATTGCTTTTTGTCTATCACAATTGCATCAGGGGCACCCAACGAGAATATAGTTCAAAACCACTTAAACATAGCATTGTTAAACTTATTTTAGTATTTAAACAGTAGATATAGGCATATTTTTATCCCCTAAAATTTTTATTTACCTGTTCGGATTTCCTAGCTGAACGTCTAGTGATCCGAAAATTATAAGGATCAAAACTTACCTTTTCGAAAATTTCAGCCAGAAAAAAGGCTCCTGAAAATTCTAGGTGACGTTTTAACAGTAAAAATCCGTTAAAAATGGGCAATTATAGTAGTTTTTGAGATGTTCGAAAATCTTCGGAGAGGCAGGCAAGCAAGAAATTTTACAACAAATGTTCCGAAAATTCTAGATGTCAAATCGTCTTCCGAACAGATATTTTCCGCAAATTGTCGTTGGGTGCCCCTGTTGCAGTAGCATGATTTTCGAGAAATAGTGATCCTTCTACGTGTTTTCCATCGTTGTAGAGTACTGACGACTTGATGGACTGGGGCCTTCTCTAATAAAGTAAAATATTAATATTCTTTTAGGTGATGATGACCGAAATTTCTAAAGAAAAAAATAACTGATTTACCATTGTTGAAACACGGGGTATATGAATCATATATCTACTTATCGTACATTATATTCATCTTATTCTTCCTTCCACTGAAAATACTAAAGCTGTTGCCAACAAACTACAAACCGGGCCAGCGGGAACATTCGAAACACTTAATCTTCGGAAAAGCGAACTTATTTCTAAAGGCTAACATCTCTTGGTAGCGGAATAAAAGTGTGCAGCAAATGAAAAGAAAATCCATTTTTTTAACCACCAAAACACAGAGAAAGCTACAGTTATTTTAAACTTGTGGATTTTCAGAAAGTTATAATGGAAAGGGGACCGAAGGGGAGCTACCCTGGCCCCTAGTCCTGCTCGGTTTCAGCTCAGTCTAACTCTATCGCGTGAAAACCTGGGGACTTTTTCTTTCATTTTCTTTTTTACCCCCATTTTAACTGGTATACCTCTGCTATCTTGAGTTCTTAAGTTTTTTTGTGTCACGTTTCGAAGAATGTATTCAAGTTTTTTTAAATAAACCCGTTCGAGGATGAGCCGGATTAGAAAGATTTCTGTATGCAGCTTGGCCTTATAATTTATGACAAATGATGAATACGATGATGAGTACGTACAGTTAAACCCCCATTAAACTGCCACCCTCGGGGTACCAGCAAGTGGCCCAGGGTTAGTCATAGATCATGTCATAAATCATGAATCGTAATTTTTAATTGAGCAGAAACCTCACTATATTTTAAAACAATCACGGAACGGGAGCAGCATTACCGGTCCTCAATCGTTCGTCACCTTCTGATTTTCTTCATCATATTCTTAAAAATAAAGCCAAACTTAGTTTATCAAGTGCTTGATGGCCGCTTAATAGTAAAAAGCTCCGGGTCCCCCCCCACTCCCCCTCCCCCCCCGGAGTGGGGACTCATTGATAGATCATTCTCTCTTGTGTTTCTGTTTGATCAATAGGGCCGTTTATACGAGAGAAAATAAGCCGCGGCTTAAGCAGTTTCTCAGTTAAACGTAACCCCAAGTTACTGAAGGATACCACTAGTTGTAATCGAATGTCGCCATCACCCAAATACACCGTATTTTTCGCGATCAGCGTTAGAAAGAAACAAAAATCTGGTTTTGTGCTGGCTCCAGCCAGCCTACGAATTAGGAAAATCACGATTCCATGTTTTCTTTCTGTTAAAGAATAATAATTTTCGCACCCCCTCAAGTCTGGGATGTTTTTGGTCTTCCAGGGATTTGCTGCTCACTCGGTACATCTTTAATAACTGAATGTCATTTGAAATTATAGCAGAAACGTGAAGGTTTCGAAAAGCCCCCATTGGGGTACTCCCTATAATGGCATATACGGGGAGGCTGTCCTCTTCTTTCTCGGACTATTTTCCTTCATCGTACTCTTAAAATAAGGCCAACCTTATTCTGTTAAGAGCTTGATCTTCTATGGCCGCTTAACAGTGGTGACAAAAATGCGAAAACTCTCATAGGAACAGCAAAAAGGTGGCTGCGATCGCTTAATAGAGGTGGCCGCTCAATAGAGATTTAATTTCCCATTCTTTACTACAGTTATTTCGGGGCATTGATTACTGGTTGCGTAATGAAGGATGGCCGCTACTAGGTGGCCACTTTTTTGGAGGTTTAACTGTATACAGAGTGGGATGATAACCATGTATGCATAATAAATCAGTGAAAGGGCGGAGAGGAAATCCTACATGATCATGAAACAATCCTCTGCGATCTGAAAGATCATAGACAACACGGCCTTATTAAGAACGACACATAATTTGGTAAAGAAACCTTGGAGTTCTAGACTAAGTGTAACTTCAGCTGATGCAATACCTACCTTGGTTATAAATTCCCGAGTAGTCTTGATCGGTTCGCTTGATTTCTCACGACGAGACTGGGTCTACAAGGAATTGTAAGACAATTTTAAGAATAAAAGTCAATTGCATTTACCCTCGCAAAAGATGGGGTCACATTTTCACGACTAGATTGGCTATAATGGGGTCGCATTTTCACGACTGGATTGACTATAATGGGGTCGCATTTTCAATAGAGTTACTAGAATGGGGTCGCACATGTTAGGATTTTTTGGGGGTTCTACCAGAACGTTTATACTGTAGATGAAAAGTCAAGTGTTCTTCGTTCAATCTAAAAAATAGGTCAATTCATACAAATAGAACTTAGTGACTAAGTTGGGATCGCGACAATTACATATTTGCCCAAACGTGACTAAGATGGGGTCTATAATTGGCCACAGAATAGACTATAACAGGGTAGGGAATCTGAGAGGCCAGCAGCACATACCCAGCAAAAATCAACCCAAGTACCCCCCGCCCCCACGCGAAATAGCTACCCTCCAAGAGGAGGTCATCGAGGAAAATTTGAAAACTAATTATAAAGCATATGAGAGGTGACATTAAATCTAATACAGTATACAGTTATTTAGTTGTCTCACAAAAGATCTTTTAACAGATGCTGTAGACTGATGGATTCTTCCACTTAGGAAGTTGGTCTGAAACTTCCTGTTTTTCTCCGAATACTGTCGGATATGCTTTGTGATGAGTGTCCTTCTAGAAGACTAGAATTTCAATTGTCGCAGTTGTGCTGTCATACACCCTACCCCTGGAACTTGCCTGACAACCGGACTGATGCCAAATTTCAATGTATTATGATTTCCGCATTACATGAGATTGAGGCAGTTTGTTTCAGTCGTCTACTAATCCCCTTGTATAAGATTCTCCACCCTCCCCCCCCCCTGCCACTTCCAATCCCCAACCCCTGTTGACGTTTGCTACACAGTCAGACAAATTTTCACTTTCCGTGCTCGTCAGTAAGTAAATAGCTCGGGGTTTTTCTACCCCCGGGGTGGGAACTTATTGATGGTTCTGTTCGGATCAAAACCGAAGAAGAAGATGTGTGACGCGAACGGGGATGGCTTCTAGCGTTACGCTTTAAAGCGTTACGTTGCGTTAGAGTATTGTTTGGTAGCCAGTAGCGTGCGCTGGCTCCACTGTAATTCCTCAGCTATACATAATCCGAAATTACTGAGGTATTCTACTAGTCTGCTAGTTGTAATTAAATGTCACCATCGCCCAAATGCACCGTATTTTTAACGATCAGCGTTAGGAGGAAGCAAAAATCTGGTTTTGTGCTGGCTGCAGTCAGACTAAGGGTCAGGAAAATCACGATTCCATGATTTGTTTCTGTTAAAGAATAATAAAATTCGCACCCCCTCCAGTCTGGGATGTTTTTGTTCTTCCAGAGATTTGCTGCTCACTCGGTACATCTGTAATAATTAAATGTCATGGAACCTTTGAGTTCAAGTGTAACTTCAGCTGATGCAATACCTACCTTGGTTATAAATTCTCGAGTAGTCTTGATTGGTTCGCTTGATTTGTCACGACAAGACTGGGTCTACGAGGAATTGTAAGACAAGTTTAAAGATAAACGTCAATTGCATTTTCCTTCGCAAAATAACAGGACTTGTACCAAACGTAAGTAAAGCAACAATCAACCCTTCTACCAACAGACCAAGAAAAAGTTGAACCTATCGGATCTTTCCCTTCTTTAGCTTTTAGTTTCCCTTTGATCAAATTACTTCAACAAAAGTGACGTAAGTGCTTCCAGCAATAGCTCCGGGGGGGGGGGGTACGTCCTTATAAGAGGCTCATATGGGATGTGCAGCTGGATGGGTTCGCATTTTCACGACTGGATTGACTATAATGGGGTCGCATTTTCAATAGAGTTACTAGAATGGGATCGCACATTTTAGGATTTTTGGAGGGTAAGACAGTTCTTCATATTTACGGTTAGCAAACGTACCAGAATGTTTATACTGTATATACTCTACTCTACTCTACTCTACTCTACTCTACTACTCTATATTAGGGACTCAATAAATTATAAGCGTCTCATTGACCTCCCGGATGATAACATAGAACTGATCAGTATCCAAGTGTCGAAACGGAAAGCAAAACCATTTATTGTGTGCACTTGGTATAGGCCTCCAGGGTCCACCACTGAACTGATGAACAGATTTGAAGATGTATTGCAAAAATTGGACTCATATCATATGGAGGTTGACATTATCGGTGACCTACATTGTAATGTTGGTGCAACATCACCAGATTGCAGCACTCAAAAACTACTAGATATCTGTGATAGTTACCAGTATAGGTAATTAATTGATCAGCCAACACGTATAACACAGCTCACATCATCTATT